CACCTGAATAACGCGAGGCGTATTTAAATACCCATCGCGAGGCTCATGCACTATAAAGTTGAATCTGAAGCATTTACCGTCAGGGACATTCTCTTGAGCTCTCGGAGAACTCATACAACAAGCTTATGATCTCAGGAAACTTCTGAAGTTCGCATAGCGCGTCTAACTGCTAACCGTAACATACATGCAGTATGGTATGAGTATAAAACTTCCTTTGATAGAGAAATGCGCTTGGTCTCTGAAAGAGCTCGCAGTTTGTGCAATAGAGATCGAGAAAGTAGTTTCGATTATCGCCAACCCGTGTTGCCTTCATACTCCACAGGCGTACCACGGATAAGTTTTCACAAGGTATAATGAACTAGCTGTTTTCCTGCAACTTTGCCGCAAAATTATAGCCTATGACATCCGTGACGTAGCTTCCCGTAGGTAGAATCTCTCTGAAACTATCGGTCCAGTAGTTTTGGGGCAAATTCGATGCAAACAAACAAACAACCAAATCTTTCCCCTTTATAATATAAGTATATCTTGGGTATAAGAGGTCCAATGGCGTAGTGGGTTAGCGCATTCGGTTAAAATTGCAGTAAATAAACAAGAATATTCTGAATACTTATTTTACATAACTAAGTACAAACGACAAACTCATCGCTAGCAAGCGATTTCTTCTAGACAACCTAGCATTACATGGAAAATAGAACAATGAATAGCTGATTGTGCATTCAACTAGATAAATAATAATAATTTTAACATATCAAAAACAAAAGAAGGACAGTTTCAAGGTACGAATAAAATTCTCAGACACAGGCGACAACCAGAGCGCGAGAAACGAGAAAAAAGATAGAAAAATTACATTCGTAAGGACAGGATGGGTGACCAAAACATTATTATCTTGAGCACTGTGCACAGCACTGGCACAATGCACGTTTAGCTGTTAGTCCTGGCTGCATCAACTACGTGAACACCCACCGATCCGCATTAAGCACAGTGGGTTATGGCCCATTGATCTTATTCGATTCGACTCCATTCATAGGAATAAAAGAATTCTACCAAAATACTTCCCACGCAGACAAAGTTGCGGGCACAGCTAGTACTTAAATAATTATATTACACTGTATCTCATTTATAAGAAGTTTAATTGAGGGTTAGATTACCATATGTATTTTTATGGAAAATTAAGTAATCTCTGTTTAATTCTACACTCGCTGCAAATCTAAGAAAATAAATTGAGACAGTGTTTTTTATGCTACTCGTGGAATTACTTTGTTTAGTACTAGAAATAAAAGCTATTCTAACGAACAGAAGGTAGTAAACTGTTTCTTCTATCCACAGATGCCTTTTTAGAGTCTTGAACTACGAAGAGTAATGTAAAACCCTAATGGGACCACTTGTATGTCTGAATGTTTGTTGTCCGTCTGTCATAGCTAATTTTGTCGGACGTGTAACTTAAATAAAATGTTTTCAGTTCGAAGGAACAAAGGTTATATGCCATATTAAAAAAGTTTTACATATTTTTTTGGTTTGAAATAGATATCAAATGGAAGGACTTGTTGTGAGAAACACATTTTTTATAATAATACAATAATTCCGAAATAACTGAAATATTGAAAACAATAAGATAAACTTGCGTTGAATGAAATTAAAATTTATATTTGAATGAAATTGAAACAATTCACATTGGGTCCGCGTAGTGCGTTATGGACCATTGATCCTACTCGATCCCAAGCATAGGAAATTAACTATCCTGATATACTTTCCCACGCAGACGAAGTCGGGGGCATAGCTAGATTGTAATAAATACAAAAAAAATCTTTATCAGATTCATTCATTTTAATAGTAAGAGAAACAAGTGAAAGTCACACGTTTTCCTAATTTGAATTCGGAGTTATCTTCTACAAAATTTCAACTTTTAATGATACCGAAACCAGCCAGATACAAATGGTATAGCCAGAAAGATTTTTTTACAACTTTATGCGACTTCTTCCCCAATCTAATAATTTTATGTTAAAACTGTTCCAACTAATATTACGAGTTAATCGATTAAAATAGAATTGGTATTGATGGAAGCTCAGGGACAAAAACAGGTTGCTGAAAAGTACAAATTCTACCCAGAAAGACACGCCGGTACTAGTTAATAAATGTATACATAACAACAGAGAAATATTAACTTAAATTGTGCGGGTAAGTGTCTGCATCCCTTAGGTATGGGTTCCCGAATGGTGTCGGGATCAGCGTCCTACATGTCTGGATCTCAGATACTTCTCCCTACATTACTTCGCTGCAGGTTATATCAAGTAATCACGCTTTTACTTCATCCCCGGGGCTAAGTACCAGTGGACGGAAAACTATGATTTGCGGTATAGAGAACAATTTCTTTAGCTTAATTATAAAAAAAAAATACCATTACATCAAACCACAGCATCAAACTAAGCCTTCGGATGCTTCACCTGAGCGTTCTAAATAATTTTATAGTCAGTATCACATTTCTTTTGCGATTATTTATTTTCTACAGTCTTACTCTTACTGTGCAAAGCCAATCCAATCAATATTCTAGTACGGTTTCTTGTTAGCTCTATGATCGTTCAAGTGCTACGAGTCGTCTACGTGTTGTCTACGAGTTCGTAGCAACGTAACTAGCCTGCCTTTCCAGACAGAAATAAACATGGCATATTATCCTAACCCTTCACATGGGCCCAATATAGTTTGGTTGATTTTAACCAATGCAGATACAGCCAGGATCAGCAGTGTAACTTGCTAACCGATGCTCATGATATTCAATTTTTGTTCACCCATCTGATGACATGACCATATAAACGATGCTTGAACTCCGCATTGCAAACCAAACCCGCTCACCACTGTATCATCGAGTTCATAAAGAATAATATTTAACGGTGCAATTAATATTAATCTTTACTTTATTGAGAAATCAAATACGTATATTTATGAGTGGTAATAGTAATCAGTATAGCAACAGCACCGGTAAAGATTTTTAGTGGAACGCAACTGAGACTAACACGAGTTATGAGTTATTTTCAGCGTTAATCAAAACCAGTTTCAGTGAGACTCTTCGAGCGCTCCGTAAATGGGAGCCGGTGAAAGGAGCCAGCATTAATAAAGACACGTATGTGATTCATGGACTCGTGTGATTACCGTCATGTTTGAAAATACACACTCAGGTTGCAGGAATGGTACTTTAACATTTCAAAAGGGCCTCAATAACGAGATCTGTGGAATTGTGTAAAGAATTTATTTCAGTTTTATAGGGTTCCGTACTGTTAAAAGAAAAAGTGCATCCTCTTTCTGGAGCACAAATCGTAGCTAATACGAGTATATTTTGATTTATTCAAATATCCAAGACGATTAGAACATAGTTTCTTGTAATCACTCAATCGACTAATAAATTGATTTAATCGACTGTCGTTTATCGACACTGTACAGTGATATTCCGATATCCATCATTCAAAAACGCCACGTGTATAAGACAACAACTGTATTTTCACTTTTCTCTAAGCGATTTCCTACAACTTTCTTATGAACCAATTGAGCTGTTCGGTACACGTATGATGATCCCGAGGAAAGCTTAAATAAACTGACTAGGTTTAACAGACTGATTAGGTATCGGTCAATAATGAGGAGTTCGATGGCGCGCTTGGTCAGCGATACGCTTGTTAAGCAACTTCCGCAATGACTAGTCAACGGATGGGTGACCAATTTTTTATTATTTCGAGCTCCTCTCTGCTTCGGAGGACACATTAAGCCTTTAGTCCCGGCTACATCTGATTCTGTAGTCGTGAAACACTGGGCCCGCGTGGTAGGTCATGGCCCATTCTCCCTATTCGATTTGATTCGTTACCACCCATAGAGAAGGCCTGAACTTCTATAGTGGGGATATTAATAGGCTGTTGGAGACGAAGTTTTCTAAACGTGGACCAATAATCCATCAAACCGTCGATATGCTTATAATGAGGACTTTGAACGCTACCTCATAAAATAATCACAAAAAAAATATAATCCTATTAATATTATAAATGTGAAAGTTTCTTTGTTTGGATGTTTGGATGTTTGGATGTTTGGATGTTTGTACGTCAATCACGCCGAAACTAATGAACGGATTTTGATGAAATTGGGTATACAGATAGAGTATTACCTGACTTAGATAATAGGATACTTTTTATCCCACCAAAAGGTTCCCTAGGGATAAAAGTACCTCCAACGGCGCCTGTTTTTGTGAACGCTGCCTAAACGGTATGAGATATACGAATGCTTTCTAGAGAAAAGTTGGAGAACCTTAAATTATCTATAAAAAAGTCCGTGATGTCGTGTATCTATAAGCAAGGGTTTTGCCACAAAAATAAAAAGAAGTTCGTATAAGTCTATTTAAATTTTTCGTCCGTCTTTAAACGTTATTTGAGTAGGTGTTATTCTATCCTTATCGAAATAAATATGTTTATCGTCGAAGAAATTTAATATACATGAAAATTGTCTTTTACACCATATAGATTGGATGAGTAGTTTAGATTTTACTACGATGTTTTTGAGAAAATAAAACTACGCATATTGCCGATTTTCTAAGCACTATTTAATGTACATATTAAGATAAAATAGCATTTTTAATGTAATCGGTAATATTAAGCCCAACAGATGGCATTGCCTGTATTCTACATTGCGATGTTGAATTACCGCAGCTACTTGGATATAGACTTTGACTCTGCGGTGCGATTCAATAATCTCTTCGTTGTAAGTGATTTCTGTGTCGTTTTGGTTCTGCGTTGTCAATTGGTTCTATTTGTCGATTTGGCTATTCTAACTGACTTGACTTGATATTTTGTGTGATTTTATCTCAAAGAACTTCTATATTTTCTATCTACTTAGCTATTCTCTTACTTTACATATTTATATTGAGATCTGTATCTAGCTTTCTAATCTACTTCTCAATTCTCTTTGTTTATTTCTTGGGTCTGTTTCTTCATTTTGTTTCATTATTTATCCTTATTTTATTTTGTAAGATGCCCGGGAAGCGTAAATCTAATTTATCTAATAAATCGAAACATGCTCGAACTAATAAAGTAGCTAGGAGTCAAGAAACTTCTCTTCAAGTGGAATTGAGAAAGCTGGAACAGGCTGCACGTCAAGCTTCTTTCAGAGCAGCTCAAACATCGGAACAGGCGGAAAATAGTCGTAGACAACATGCTGTTTATTTAGCATCACGTCGAGCTAATGAGACGCCTAACGAAACTGCAACTCGGCGCGTGGAACAGGCTGAGCAACAAGCTAGCCTGCGTATGTCTGAGACGCCAGAGCAATCGCAGTCTCGGCGTGAACAGCACGCTGTTTATTTAGCATCACGTCGAGCTAATGAGACGCCTAATGAAACTGCAGCTCGGCGCGTGGAACAGGCTGAGCAACAAGCTAGCCTGCGTATGTCTGAGACACCGGAGCAATCGCAGTCTCGGCGTGAACAGCACGCTGTTTATTTAGCATCACGTCGAGCTAATGAGACGCCTAACGAAACTGCAGCTCGGCGCGTGGAACAAGCTAAGCAACAAGCTAACCTGCGTATGTCTGAGACGCCGGAGCAATCGCAGTCTCGGCGTGAACAGCACGCTGTTTATTTGGCTTCGCAACGCGCGTCCGAGTCTTCACATCATAGGGAAACGCGACTCACACAGCAGGCTGAACGACAAGCTAGCTTGCGTATGTCTGAGACGTCGGAGCAATCGCAGTCGCGGCGTGAACAGCACGCTGTTTATTTGGCTTCGCAACGCGCGTCTGAGTCTTCACATCATAGGGAAACGCGACTCACAGAACAGGCTGAGCGACAAGCTAGCCTGCGTATGTCCGAAACGCTGGAGCAGATGCAGTCTCGGCTCCAATGGCAAACTGCTTATGACATTTCACAGCGGGCAGCCGAGACTCTAGAAGCGGCAGAAGCTCGTAGACGTGCTGTAGCTGAAAGAGTGGCGCAGCGGCGACAGATATTTAACAGAAATACATGGGGTGTTTTCGAACGCGCCGCATTTGAGTACGACAGTAGTCTCAAATACGACACCCATAAACTAATTAAAATGGAAAGATTGGTTAAACAGTGCCAATTTTGTAACGCCTTGAAATGGAAAGAAGAAGCAGCTGGTATGTGTTGTTCTGGAGGGAAAGTAGTTATCTCACTATTGGAGGAGCCTGTACAACCACTGAAGGATCTATTTTTAGGCAATTCTGACGAATCACGTCATTTTATTCTTAATATTAGAAAATATAACGGATGTTTCCACATGACGTCATTTGGTGCAGATACAGTTGTTTCAATGCCAGGATTTTCACCAACTTTCACTGGGCAGGGGCAGGTCTATCACAGAATTGGGCCTCTGTCATCGACTACAGCAAACAACACACAGTTCTTACAAGTTTATTTTATAGGCGATGAGGAGGCGCAAGTTGACAGACGCACAAGAATTATACAGGGAGTGCGAAGAGATACAGTTAACAAAATTCAGCGGGTGCTCAACAGCAATAATATTTTGATACATGAGTTCAAGATGGCTCTCGAGAACATGCATGATGAAAGTTACAAGGTGGTGATTCATCCAGACCGGGTGCCGCGCGGACAGCACGAGCGGCGCTACAATGCGCCAACCACTAACGAGGTGGCGGCCGTGGTGGCGGGTAGCGAGAATACTGCCGGTAGAGATATCGTTTTGCGAGCTCGCGATGGTCAGCTCTCCCGCGTTGCTGATACGCACAGATTCTACGACGCTCTTCAATACCCCATCATGTTCTGGAAAGGTCAAGAGGGGTACCATTTCGAAATACCCCAAGTGAATCCAGAAACAAGGCGTCCTGTGCCCAACAAAAAAGTGTCCTGTATGGATTTTTACTCTTACCAGCTTATGGTGCGTGAAAATAATTTTAATTTGCTTTTGCGTTGCCGACAACTACTACACCAGTTTCTCGTAGATATTTACGTTAAGATTGAAAGTGAGCGCTTAAGATACATATCTTTGAATCAAAGCAAGCTGCGAGCGGAGAGTTATATTCATTTACAGGATGCTGTGAGGAATGATGCGCACGTGGACGCTAACAATATTGGCCAAAGGGTCATTTTGCCCTCGTCGGTTGTCAACAGCCCTAGGTACTTACATGAGTACACACAAGACGCATTTGCGTATGTCCGTAACTATGGCCGTCCGGATCTTTTTATCACGTTTACGTGTAACCCTACTTGGCAAGAAATAACTGACGAACTTATGCCTGGTCAAAAAACTACCGATCGTCATGACTTGATTGCACGAGTGTTTAAAATTAAAGTCCAGAAGTTGGTTGCGCTGCTCACGAAGGGTCAGATATTTGGCGAATCTCAGTGTTTTATGTACTCCATAGAGTGGCAAAAGCGAGGTTTACCACATGTACATATTTTATTGTGGCTAAAATTAAAATTGCAACCCTCTCAAATTGACGATATTATTAGCGCAGAGATTCCAAATGCCAGTGTAGACCCTACGTTACATGACATTGTCACCAAGAATATGATACATGGGCCATGCGGAGCTTATAATATGTCGTCACCGTGTATGAAAGACGGGAAATGCACGAAAAAATACCCTAGAACCTTATTGAAAGATACACTGACAAGCGAAAACGGATATCCACAGTATAGGCGACGATCGCCCGAAGATGGGGGACGCACGGTCACTATTAAACTTCGCGGTGGTGATCAGGAAGTCGTGGTGGACAATAGGTGGGTCGTGCCTTTTAGTCCCATTCTTTCCAAGATTTTTAAAGCTCATATAAACATAGAGTTCTGCGGTTCAGTACAGGCAATTAAGTATATTTGTAAATATATAAACAAAGGGAGCGATCAGGCTATATTCAATGTTCGGGAAGCTGGTGACGTCAATATTGACCCCAGAGATGAGGTACAAACGTTCAGAACGGGACGATATGTAAGTAGCAATGAAGCTGCTTGGCGTATTTTCGGCCTACCTTTACATGAGCGACACCCTACTGTTACACATTTAGCAGTGCATCTACCCAATGGCGAGCGCGTTTACTTTACCGAGCACAATTTGCGGGATCGAGTGACAACACCCCCAAAAACAACACTGACTGCATTTTTCCAACTGTGTGAAAATGACGATTTTGCTAAGACTCTACTTTATGTTGAAGTGCCTCGGTATTTTACATGGAATTCATCTCGGAAAGAGTGGAAGCGCCGTGCGCAGGGAACACCCGTCCCAAATTGGCCAGGAGTAAAGGCCGGAGATGCACTTGGTCGGATATACACCGTGCACGTAAACAATTTTGAATGCTTTTGTTTACGTATGCTGTTAAATCAAGTGCGTGGCCCAACGAGCTTTAAAACACTAAAAACAGTAGAAGGTTATGAGCGGGTGACATTCAGGGAAGCGTGCGAAATGCTTGGATTATTGGAAGACGACAAACACTGGGACGAAACAATGGCAGAAGCCGTTCTTTGCCGCTCCTCATCAAAAGTAAGGGATTTGTTTGCCGTTTTGGTAGGTACTTGTGGGATATCTAACCCTGTCCAACTGTGGGAAAACTATAAAGAAGCAATGTTTGAAGATATTTTGCATAGGCTACAACCACACATACCCATAGACGCAGTAAGAAACGAAGCTTTAATTATTATCGAAGATAAAATGATATCGATATCGGGCAAAAAGCTGTCTGATTTTGGTTTGCCATCACCCCATAGAAGAGGAGCACTGTCAAGTGATATTGTGAGAGAGCTGAACTACGACACCATAGTTTTGGAGAGTTATGTGAATGAAATGGCGCCTCAATTACTTCCCGACCAACAGCACGTTTACAACACCATCCTGCAATGCGTAAACAGTGCAGAAGGGAGACTTTTTTTCCTCGACGCACCCGGGGGCACCGGTAAAACGTTCTTGCTGAATTTATTGCTTGCTCGCATTCGTCAAGACCGTAACATAGCCCTGGCTGTGGCATCATCGGGGATTGCAGCAACTTTGCTAACTGGTGGACGGACTGCTCATTCGGTATTTAAACTACCTCTGAATCTTGCAAGTCAAGAAAACCCAACGTGCAACATTAGCAAAAGCAGCGACCGCGGTGCCCTTTTGCAACAATGTAAATTAATCGTGTGGGACGAGTGCACAATGTCTCATAAGCGCGCGGTTGAGGCTTTGAACCGGAGCCTGCAGGACATCCGCAACAATGAGACGCTGATGGGAGGTGCTGTTGTTGTACTCGCTGGTGATTTTCGGCAAACTCTTCCAGTTATCGAAAGGGGTACACCAGCAGATGAAATGAACGCGTGTCTCAAGGCTTCGTCACTTTGGTCCCGCGTAGAAAAACTCCACCTTACTCGGAATATGCGTGCACAACTTTACAATGATACAGAGTCAGGTGCGTTTGCGAGTAAGCTGCTCGAGATCGGAGATGGTAGGCTGAAAACCGATCCGGAGGGCAAAATCATTTTCACCAATGAATTTTGTCATCCAGTAGCTACCGAGGAAGAACTACTCGCCAATGTATTTCCTGATTTAAAAAACAAATTAAATAATGAGGAGTGGTTGTGTGAGAGAGCAGTACTGTCGCCAAAAAATGAATTAGTGAATAAAATAAACAACAAGGTATTAGATGTAGTAGATGGCGCATCGAGGGTGTACACGTCCATAGACACGGTGATGGCAAGCGATGACAGCACTGCGTATCCCGTGGAGTTTCTCAACTCATTAGAATTGACGGGCATACCGCCCCACAAGCTGGAGCTGAAGGTTGGCGTCCCAGTTTTGTTGATGCGTAATCTTGACGCCCCGCGATTGTGCAACGGCACAAGATTACAAATTAGCGAACTGGGAAGAAACATTGTGCGAGCAACAATACTTACCGGAGCAGCTAAAGGCGAGAGCGTGTTGATTCCCCGCATACCCATTATACCCCACAATTTGCCATTCCAGTTCAAAAGGCTGCAGTTCCCATTGAAATTGGCATTTGCCATGACCATCAACAAGTCCCAGGGACAAACCCTAAAAGTGGCCGGCATACATTTGGGCATTCCCTGCTTTTCCCATGGCCAACTCTATGTGGCATGTTCTCGAGTGTCAAGTGCAAGGAACCTGTATGTACTTGCTGCAAATAATAGATCATACAACATCGTATATAGATCAATATTATAAGATAGACATAATCGACGTTATTATCAAAATCTGTTCAGTGGTTGCAGCGTGATTGACTGGCAAACATGAAATTCTTAATGAAAAAAAAATAGAAGTTAGTTTGGTCAGATTTTTTACTCTGGATATACCTACAGAATGATTTAAATTATTTTTTATCTCACTAAATATTTCCTTAGGAAACACGCGTTGAAGCCGCTGGCGAAAGCTAGTTACATTATAAACGAACTGTTATGTCAATAACCCATTAACAATTACAAAGCCTTTCAAACGGACAGATGATACGTTTTAATTATAGAAATGAAATTGCCATCAAGGTTTGCTAACTAAACGTTGTAAATTGCCAAATAACGAGCCGTAACGAGGCGAAATCAAACTTCCGATATAGACTGTATAAATTGTTCCCGAAATACAATGAATGTTACGCACAGATCGAATCGAGCGTGTCGAAGCTAAACGAATAATGGACAACATTATGGCTGACAATCACATTTTTTTAAAGCAAATAAAAATAAAAAAGTTTGACTATTTATATAATAATGTATCATATATAGGTTCAGTTAACATATTCACTTATAATAATATCGGTAAGATTGTGAACTGGCGATCCTTAACGATTATGCAAATTAAGCTTTCTTGTACCTCCTACAGTCACAAACGCGCTCGCTTGATTTCATACATTTTAGTCACAGAAAAGAAAAACAAATGCAGTTACCAAAAATAATGTATTTATTAGAGATTATATCAAAACCTCTTTTTGTGTAAATTTTATTTCGAGACATAATTATGATTTTCTATCAAGCCAATTATTAAAATTTATATTTCTGTTTTGAGCAAACAATCGATCGTATGTTTAATTTTTATAAAATGAGTTTTATTTGGCAAATAATAATATAGCTTAGAATACCTAGGTAAAAAGAAACGAGACGAAAGCAGACGAGTCTCTGAGATGAATAGCGACAAGATGATGACATATTGTGTGAAATTAGAATATCATAGTCAGGATATATGAAAATTTTCTTTAATATCTTATTTGATAGTGACAAAGTTTACGTGAAACATGTAGATTGATAATTTAGAACCGGGTTACTTAGCTACTATCAAGCGATATTACTGAAAAATGTTCTGTGTGCGTTATTTTTTTAACATTATCCTTTATTTGTTAATTCGCGAAAATTGAGTATTAACCGTGAGAACAGATCTAAAACAATCGAAAAAAAAAATAAGATGGCTGAGGCGGTGGTGATGTAACTCCAAATAAATTATGCTGGATTTTTAAAGTTTTTATTCACCACTCACATGTGTAAAAAGTAATAAAATATAAGCACAAAAGTACAGACAATGCTATAGAATAAAGAAGGCGAACGTGAGCAAAAAATAAATATGAAACTACTTCAGGTTGACATCTAATAATATGAACAATAAATTTGAATTAAAACAACGCGTGCTACATGCATCTCAATAATAATAATCTGTGGACGCGACTCTCGTATTTCGCGGGCTACCTCACGCATGCGCGAGCCGCGGCGCCGCGCCGCGCGGTCTCACGCCTGCGCAGTAACCGCGTCTCGAGCTAGTGCGAGCGCCAAAATTATATACAAAGAAACTAGATGTGTTTGTCCTTGTGTAACACAAATTCGAACAATTACATTAAATATTATTTCTTAAATTTAACATGTGAAACAATTTTATATATTGTATTATTTGGTATTTGTACATAGAATTTTATTAAATATATTAAATTTTTATAATGTTTACTTTGACAATTATTTCATCTTCATTAATTTATATGTAGGTACACTACAATGGCCTTAATAAAATCGCTATTTTTGATTACAAAAGAAGAAAAATATTTGATAAATAAAAAGGCGGCCTTATTGCTAAAGTAGTAATCTTGGTTAGGTTTATCTAAAAGAAACTAAATCGAAAAGAAACTGGGGCTGCTTATGCCTTGATTACTCGCAAAAATATATTTCATTGTAATAGTTTTAATTATTATAAACTTATCAGTTTTCACTATAAAAAGATCGTAAAATAATGATAGATTGTGTTTTTTCTACCCATTAATTTCTGAAAAATCTTGATTATAAAACTAATCCTATCAAAAACGTGCGAGAAACAAAATTATTTGTCAATACAAAGTAAATCACTTTTTGAGAACGAAACAAAAGCTTATTTTTTAAAAGTGCATTCATGTTCAATTTGCCTTAATAACACTTCAGCTAGCATTTAGCGCGAATTTATTGTGGTTTTTGTTATGCAAATACATCGTTCGTGTATGAAGAATGGCACAAAGCAACGGATAATTCGAATGCAGATATCTTTTTGAATGTAGCCGACAAAAAACCATTTAATTGCCGATTACAAACAAATAGGAAGTTATCATTTCCACTCTTTTTTTATACATTTAACAATATCTTCGTCAATAGTGCACGTAATAAGAAGAAATAAGTACGTTTCCAAAGTAGGCTATATATTTTATTAACTTTAAATAAATATCCGCAGTCTCATGCGTCGTTTCTCATTAAAAATATTAAATATATAAATGAAAAAACTTTTAAACAGTTTCATCGCGTTTGTAAGTACCCAAGAGCTAACAGGACTGACGAATCTTTCAATCACTTGTCAGTTTTCGAACATCTTCGCTGAAACCCTCCTGGGGTAATAAACTGCTTCTATTCAACTGCACCATCATAGGGAGGGAAGGGCGGGTTGGGCCTCCGGTACCCTCAATCACACGACGAAACACAACGCAAGCGTTGCTTCGCGTCGGTTTTCTGTGAGGGCGTGGTATCACTCCGGTCGAGCCGGCCCATTCATGCCGAAGCGAGGCTCTCCCGAGGTTGATTAAAACTCATTTTGGTTCACGTCGTCGACGTCCATAACGCTTGCTGTCCGGCTTGGGTCTAAGCAGTCGGCCCGCTGTTAGCATTCACCTACAGACTTGTCTGTGCCCGCGCAGACAAAATGAGAGCTCACGGATGGGCGAAGGGCAGTCTGGCAGACTGCCTGTGACGGACCTACACTAGGCACACATGACACAGACCTATAGTAACGAGGTCTGGTAGGCATGTCTGCAGACTTGCCCGCGAGCATGCCTGTCTAGTGAATTCCCCGCTGAATTCGCCCGTCTGTGAGATCTCATTTTATACCATTCTTTACACCAAACTCTTTTCTTTTTCTTTTCGTCAAATAGAATTAATGCAGCAGCAACTAATGCTATTTATCTCCGTTTCGTAGCCATTGTAATATGCACTGATAACACAACCAGTCGCTTAGCGCGTCGAACACTAACTGACGAGTCTGTGTAGTGTGACTTGCCCGCAAGCGTGCCTGTCTAGAGAATTCCCCGTTTAACAACATTGTAGGAGATTTTTTTTTTGAGGTAAAGTTTCTAACTTTGTGTGTTTGTTTGTAGGGAGTAATCTTCTGAAATACTTGAAAATTCAAAGCTACACGATACGCAGGTGATATCTATACTATATATTTTAATATTATAAATGAGAAAGTAACTCTGTCTGTCTGTTACTTAATCACGCCTAAACCACTGAACCAATTTGCTTGAAATTTGGTATGGAGATATTTTAATATTCAAGAAAGGACATAGACTTTTTACCGCGGGAAAATGACGCATTCCCACGGGAAAATAATATAAATATATATAACACAAAGGTGATTGACTGACATTGTGATCTATCAACGTACAGCCCAAACCACTGGACGGATCGGGCTGAAATTTGGCATACAGGTAGATGTTATGACGTAGGCATCCGCCAAGAAAAGCTTTTGATTGATTCCACCCCCAAGGGGATAAAATAGGGGATGAAAGTTTGTATGACACTGTCAATTTTAAGGGCTGAGACTTTGCATGCATAAAGCTACTATGACATAAGCATCCCCTAAGAAAGGATTTTGATAAATTCCACCCCTAAGGGCATAAGCTAAGAGGATAAGACTTTTTTTTTTCAGGTATTTTACACGATATAATGAATAAATATTCGTTAGAAATGCTGCTTAAAGTAACTTTACCACGCGGACCAATAATTTTCGAGGGCAAACAGCTAGGCATTCAATAAAATAATGAAAATTGTTTGTATATTTATAAAACTTATTATACTCTGTCAAAGGAAGCTGTTAACATGTTCTAGTGAACACTTACAAAAGAAATAGAAATTTTAATGTATTGCAAACTGGGAAGGGTGCAGAGCTAGCTGTTATTAAAGGTAAGTTTCCATGTTGGAAATAACAAAGCGTTGCTGAATGATACTTACATCCAACGATTTTGCGAGTGAAAGATTTACTGTACTCTCGGTAACCATTTTTCGACATCTCAAATTCCATCATGTTTCATCGCACTAAATTGTATTCTTTCCTTGTTTCTTTATGTAAAATTGTTTTATGTGTGGGCTACACCAGGAATCTACAAAAGCAGAAAAAGGCTCTATGAACTATATGAACGTAATTATAACAATAGTGAGGATTTCAAAGAATGTGTACGAAATTACTGTAATTTATTTAAAGTGTGTCTAAACGACAAAATGTCTAAAGAAACAAAAAGGGAAATACTTTGGTAAAAAATACGTAGCGGCAATCAATCGACAAATTATATTTTGAGATTGAGTAGGGTGAGTGCACTCCAAATCCAAAGACTTCTGATAATGGCTCTAATCTGCCATTATGTTTTTAGTTATTCATCATAAGAAAAACAACCAATTTAAAATCGAATACATATATAAAAATTATGTTTCTCATTATGCTCTTTATCACATGAAAATTTTAATCTAGTGCCGAAACTAAGATTCTTTTCGTTAGAATTACTTACAGTTAGACGGTAAACTTGTAACTCATGCTGCCGTTTATTCCAAACGGAAGTTTTCGAGAATACGTATGGGATTGTTGTCATTGTCTTTTTCTTTTATAAGCGTGTAAAAGAGACAACAATAAAGCTGTTAAGTTCATTCTATTGAGTAGTTCGATGTTTCACAAAATTTTAACGTTAAGTA